TTGTTTTATTAATAGTTGAATTAAAATATGTATAATGACATACTAATAGTCTTCATTGATTGAAATTGAGCTTTTTTTTAATTTTCTCAAAAAATATTTAACTTACAAAAAAAAGTTTCGTACAAAAGTTGTTTAAAAGACAATTAAAAACAAAAAAATTATCTTATATTTTTTCATTTAAACAAACATTTTTCGAGTTACATTACATTTAATGTGAGTACTAAAATTTATATTCCATTTTTTTCATATTACGGTTGCTTTTTATAGATCATAGCTGGCCTCACAATTTCATACTGAATTTAAAAACTATAATTAGTTTTTATAATTAGTTAGTATTTATTCATATATTATATTTTAAAATCAAAGAACTGCTAATCAGGATATAATTAAAGAAATAAGAGTTGATGTTCCTTTTGGAATAATCCACCAATTTCTCTAAATGAAACACTATCTACAGATTTGCATCGAAGCGTTTCTTATGATAGTGATTTTAATCACTGTCAGATATCATCTATACTTGTCCCATCTATGCCTCGTCCACACTGTGCCTCGACCCCACTGTGCTACCGTTTTTTTTNTTTAAATAAAAAATTATTCTAGTTTTTCATACATCAATTAATATATAGAATGATATTATATTAAAGAATTTAATGTCTTTAATTAGAAAATAATATAAAAGAAATAATTTTTTAATTTTGTCACGCTATAGTTGCGATAGTTTGAAGTTCTTAAAACAAAATTCGTATTAAAAATGTAAAAAAAAATTTAAGTTATTAATGAGGAAGCGTGAAATTATTATCAAACTGTATAAAACAGAAAAAATAAAAGCTTACTAAATAAAATATCGGCTTATTGATTCCAAAGGCACTGATGCCCGTAGACACTAGTAAAATTTGCACTCTCTTGCTCCGGAGCGTAGAGAAGTCTAAAAATGGCGGTCGATCGTCGTGTCTGTTTTTGTCTTTGATTTTACGTTTTTGATTTTTTAAATGAAGTATGGCTCGTCTTTGTGGATGATACAATGAAGCAGACCTGTAGCAGGTTCCTAAAAATGTGGTGAATACAGTAGCAGTAATCAGTTGTAATCCTAATCTTCACCCGATAGTGCTGAAAATTAAATATATTAAAGATAATAATGGGTACTTCATTATAATGATCGTAAGATGTATTGACGTGCATATACCTAATAGCTCCTTTAATGAAACTAGACATGACAGCAATACCTATTCCACTGCCTGAAACGATAAATATCTCAACGAATTCCCGCTTCCGTTTAAAATACTGAGCTACCATCAAAGTAGAACAATCTCTTGTCATACCCACGCCAATTCCTGAAAGTAAATAAAATGTACAATTATTCTTGTACATATTTCTTGTCGCGGCTTCAAATGTCAACAGCAATTAACTTTCGATGTTGTATATATATCATGATTTAAAAGATTCATACATCTTACTGTATAAAANCTTTAAAAGATGTATGAAATCTTACTGTATAAAATACTCTCATTAATTTATTCTATGAGCATATAAATTATCAAACACTTTTTATTAACGCCATTAATTATATGGTTATAATTCAAAACTTCCAACTTTTGATAAGATTTGTGTAAAAACCAAAGCTTTATTTCATTTAATTTTTATATCTTATGAAATATATTTCTTGAATAAATTAATTGAACATTACTTTTTTGTTGTTTTATTTATAAAAGATAATAATTATTAAATATTTAAAACAATTAAAATATTCAATGTTAAGAATTTTGAAACTCCAATGCTTTATCATTGGAAAAATGTAAGCTTTGAGTTGTGTAGTTTTTTAAATGTTGTACTCAGTTTCATTAAAGTTATCATACCGCTATAAATTGTAATAATTAATTTTATTTGAACAATTAATTTAGTAAAACTGTTTATTTAATAACAAAGTTACAGTAAATATACAGAGTGTTCAGTAAGTCAGGAAACGGGTTTCTATTGTTCTCATTGTTTGTAACAATTTAACTGTTTCCTAACTTACTGAACACCTGTATATACAGAGTATATAAAGTGATTGGATCTTTGATCTTTATTGAAGTTATTGAATCTAAATGAGATAAAAATCAAACGAGTTAAAAATTTATACTAACTTAAAAAGAATTAAGAAAAAATGCAAAAAATTCATTGCCATACGCGGGTTGGAACCTCGTACCCCAAGCGTGTAAAACACAAGTTCTACCAACTCGGCAACCGTACGTCAATACTCTACATTGAAAAAATTGGCTATTTATGCTAGTTCAAATTACAAAGTTATTTTTCTTGATTTAAAAGAAGCAAACGAATTTAAATAAGTTTAATTTTCTATGCTATATTAATTTTTCATTTATATAATATTTATGAAAATCTGTACTCCTCTTGTCAGGTATTTTAAAATAAAATAAAATACAAAACCCAGAATTTTAACACAAAAATAGCATATTTTTGCATACGGTAGTCATTTTTACCATGAAGACAAGTCCAGAGGTCAATATTTTTTTTTTCAAATTAAAGTATATTACATTAACTTTAATTTAAGATATATATAAATGTGTCAGTCTTTCCGGAACATTTTCAAAAGTTATGTTGAAAAAGTTAATTTTTTGTGAAAAAGTTGTCATTTTGAATCCCCTTCTGAGGGCAGGGAAAGAGTCAAATTTATAAAAAAAATATATAAAATGATAGGTAAATATCTAAGGTATCTATAAAAAAAAAAATATTATATTATTATATTGATTCGGTCATTTTTAAAAAAGTTATGGCAATTCTAAGTAGAAAAAAAAATGAAAAAATATCGAAAATTAGCGATTTTTAAATTTGTAATTTTTTCGGAGGTTTCCCGCATTTTAGGGAAATGAGGGAATTTTTTTCAATTTTTGAGGGTAATGTCTTCAACTAGATACGATTTGTGATCTTTTGACATATTTTTCATCAAAATCGGTTCAGTGAGAGCTGAGATTGAGCGTATACAGACACAAAAAAAAAAAAAATAAAAAAAAAAATCATCATAGTAAAATAGATTTAATAGTTTAAAGATCAGCTTGTTCAATGTAGAAACATATTTTTCGGCGCACGGGGTCTTGGGTTGACCGGGTGCCAACGAGATTTTCTTATTGGTGGTGTCTGGTCTGTGGTGCAAGCCGACCATAATATCCGTTCCATCCATCATTGGCCAGTCAAGAATTATATTTGAAACCTTAACATGTGAAAGAGGGCCACCACCCTCTGTAACATGTTAAGTTCGGGTAATAGAAGCATGTAAATTTGATGATTATTTTTTTTTATACTTAATAGTTCAACTTAAACAGTTAATTTGTTTTTTTTTGTGTGAATAATTCAAAGACCAGAAATTACAGAAAATTTTTGAAAAAAAAATCGGACTGTACCATTACAAAAAAAAACCCAGCACAGGGGGGTCGAGGCACAGTGGTGACGTGGCATAGATGGATCAAGTATAATGATATCTGACAGTGATTAAAATCACTATCAAAAAAAAACGCTTCGATGCAAATCTTTAGATAGTGTTTAATTTTAAAAAATTGCTGGATTATTCCAAAAGCTACATGATCTGCTAGTTCATTATTAATATCCTAATTAAGATAAAGTATGTCGAATGAAAAAAAGATTATTAAAAAATATTATTTCTCATAAAAAAATAATGTTGATCCATACACTTTTCAATATGTCATAGCATTATAAAGTTAAAAATGTAAAAAATAAAATCGAGAATTTTCACATAATGATAGCATTCGGTAGCCATTTTCATCGTGAAGATAAAATAAATTGCAATTTTTTTTTGTTGCATAATAAAATAAATTACATTAGCTTTATTTTAAGATATATATAAAAGTGTCAGACTTTCCGGAACACTTTCAAAATTTAAGTAAAAAAAGTAAATTTTTTGTGAAAAAGTAAATTTTTTGTGAAAAAGTTGTCATTTTAAATTCCCCCCTGTAAGCAGGTAAAAAGTCAGATTTATAAAAAAAATATACCAAATGATAGGTAAAGATATCATGCATCTATAAAAAAAAGAATTATATTGATCCATACATTTTTCAAAAAGTTATAGCATAATAAAGTTAAAAATGTAAAATACAAAATCGAAAATTTTCACACAAAAATAGCATTCGGTAGCCATTTTCACCGTGAAGATAAAATAAAGTCCGAAATTTTTTTTTTGCATAATAAAGTATATTACATTAGCTTTAATTTAAGATATATATAAAAGTGTCAGACCTTCCGGAACATTTTCAAAATTTAAGTTAAAAAAATTAATTTTTTGTGAAAAAGTTGTCATTTTAAATTCCCCCCTGTAAGCAGGTAAAAAGTCAGATTTATAAAAAAAATATACCAAATGATAGGTAAAGATATCATGCATCTATAAAAAAAAGAATTGTACTGATCCATACATTTTTCAAAAAGTTATAGCATAATAAAGTTAAAAATGTAAAATACAAAATCGAAAATTTTCACACAAAAATAGCATTCGGTAGCCATTTTCACCGTGAAGATAAAATAAAGTCCGAAATTTTTTTTTTGCATAATAAAATAAATTACATTAGCTTTATTTTAAGATATATATAAAAATGTCAGACCTTCCGGAACATTTTCAAAAATCAAGTTGAAAAAATTAATTTTTTGTGAAAAAGTTGTCATTTTAAATCCCCCCCTGTGGGCAAGTAAAGAGTCACATAAAAAAAAAAATATACCAAATGAAAGGTAATGATATCATGAATCTATATAAAAAAAAATTTATATTGATATGTTCATTTTTGAAAATGTTATGGCACTTTAAAGTAAAAAAATTGAAAAAATTTCGAAAATTAGCGATTTTTAAATTTGTAATTTTTTTGGAGGTTTCCCCCATTTACGGGGAACGAGGGAATTTTTTTCAATTTTTGAGGGTAATGTCTTCGACTAGATACAATTTGTGATCTTTTGACGTATCATTGAAAGAAATCGGTTCGGTGAGAGCTGAGAAAAAGTGGTAACAGACACAAAAAAAAAACACATCTTAGTAAAACCAATACCTTCTCAGCTTCGCATCGAAGCTAAAATGAAAATTAGGACTATAAAGAAAAAAAAGACTAGTAATTTTGTTCTTCGGACTATTTCGTCAAAAAAAGTATTTTAAAATATTTTTCAAACAATTCTTTGTTTATTAATAAATTATTAAACATTATTTCTAATGTATTACATTATTAACATAAGTAAAACGTGGTTGAGAACAAATAAATGATAGAATAACACATCTGTAATACATAATATATAATTAGTAATTATAAAACTGATTTAGTTTTCACAAATGAGTCAATTGTATCTTCGTAATAAAGTTTTTGTGTTGAGAAATGCGATATTATATAACTTTGTGCCAGTCTGAGTGGATCTAAGATAGTTTTTGATGCATTTGAGACACGAAAACGATTTCTCTATAGTACAATTAGACACTTTTACACTTATGGGAATTCTTAATACTATATCAATTTTTAGAAAAATATTTAGGATTTAATGAAACTGTTTGTTTTACTTTGATAAATACCTATTTTGCTAAAATCGTCCGTTAATAACCCATTTTGATGAGTGGGCCTCCAAAATTAACGTATTAAAAGTCATTTTAGTTGAATTGGTAGTCTCACAACTATCTTTTGGTTCAAAAAATTGAACTTCAAGAGTCAATGTATTTTATTGTCACTAACCTGAGCATATGAACAACAATAATATCTGTAGTTTTATCGTCAATAATTCTTGTATAATAAGTAAAAGAAACTGGTTTGTCAAAAAATTTAGTTTACTTCGATGTTTGATTTAAAACATTTTGTAGTCTTTTCAATCACTTTTTAATTTGACAATATTTTTTTACATTATTTTTTTTGGTCACCGCTTAACCATTTTCTATTTTCACTCGTATTCACAAAATAAAAAGTATATTTAACAAAAAATAAACGTAAATTAATAGCGCACCATACTGGAGCTACGCGAACATTAGTTGAATTATGACAATAACATCCTCGGATATGATTATATTTTTTAAAACAGATTTTACTATAACATTAGTCAATTTTTTCCGGTTTAAAAAACTGTACAGGTACTATGAAAGTTATAAACTTGTATTTTATTAATAACCTTTGCTATTGTTATCGGGAAAATGAAAATAGATTTAACTCTTGCTTGTAGCTATCAATATACATATTATAAATACATAATAAATTAAAACTATTATGATAATTATTAGGAAGTCAATATGACATAACAATAATAAAAATCATAACTCGCCTTTTATAAATTTATCGGCCTTCAATATTTGCCGCTCCTCAAAATTTGGCGCTGAGGTAGTTGTCTATAGTGCCTGCATTTAAATACGCCGCTGTGAACAAGAAATTTCTTCTCGCAGGGGAAGACTACAGTGATGGGATCCTTAATATTCATTGAAGTTATTCAATCTAAATGAGATAAAAATCAAATGAACTTTGAATTTTTTTTTCACCTCAAAAAAGAAATAAGAAAAAAATAAAAAAAGACTGACGGATTTCGTACTTTGAGCATATAAAACAGTTTTTATATTTGACGCAGCTATAGTTCGTTATATGATTAAGTAGCTAAAAAGGACAATTTAAGCTAGTTCAAAAATTTAAAGCAGTTTTTCTATTATCAATAAAGTGACTTAGGTGGCTCACGTCTAGCCCTGTATTTGTTATTTGAAAATTTATAACCTTCGATGCGTAACTAAAAATGTATTAATTTTATTCTGTAGTGTTTTTTTTTGTCATCATTCCAAATTGATCAATTCCTGTTAGACCGATTTGCTCAACGATATATCGAAAAATCTTAAATTATATCTAGTCAAAGCTTTAAGTATTATAATTATGAAAAATTACCCTCAATGCAAGTAATAAAGGGAAATGTCCAAAAAATGGCAATTCCAATGATACAGACGCTATTGAAATTTTAAATTATTAATTTATATTAAAATACATTTTTGAAAATTGGACAAATCTTTGTGCAATTTTTATTGACAATAATTTAAATCTTTCCCAGTTGATGACATATTATTTTCTAATTCAAAACATTAACTAAGTTATAAGAGAATTCAAAAGTCATACCAAAAAAAATTTTTTATGATGTTTCAAAAAACTTTTTTTTAACCTATAGTCGCAATTTCAACAAAAAATTTGGAGGAGGGACTTATTATACCTAATTTCCCCTACCTAAAATTTATTTTTTTACTTATATATGTAATTTTTCTGAAATTTATAGTTTATACTTGCATCAAATTAAAGTTAATAGAAGGTACTTTGAGACGAATAATAAAAATTATTTGTAATTCGATAACAAAGAATTATTTTGCATTTAAGCCAAAACTTTAACCAATTTTTAGTTAAAATAATCAATTTTGAAGTGTTTTGCAAAGCAATGGAATAATTAGATGATTCAATACTAAATTAAATTAAAAGTTTTCATATACCACCGATTAGAAGTTTGAGTGCAATGGTTTTCTGTTGCTTTCTTCACTAGGGACAAAATTCTTTTTAATGCTTTTTCTAAAACTCAACCATGCATGAATTAGTAGACTCACAACGTGAAATATGGAAAATCCTTTTATTAGCTGTCTTTGGGTGCATTTTTAAGAGCATCTAAATATTACAATGAACTGTTATGTGCACTTACACATGGTAGCTGTACACTTGCACATGATAGCTGTACACTTGCAGACTATAAGAAAATATTGGTAAATTATGACTATATTTTTGTATAAATTATTTTGTGAATACATTTTGTGTATAAATTATTTTATTTAGCGCAATCACATAAGACGGTGCATTACGATATTTTATGCTTCTACATTTTTAAAATACTTATTTTATACTGCACAATACATATTTTTATTTCTATTAATGGACACACTGAATGTAGAATCATTTTTCGAAAAACGATATTATCAGCTACTAACAACATCGATCGATTATTGTAGGCTTTACAGTAACTTTCAAATCGTTTATATTTTTTTATTTGATACTGTTAATGTAAAATTCCGATAAAATACCAAGTAATTTGAAATATCGATTGTGAGCGATTTTGAATAATTCATGTTTTTGGAGGCAATTTAAAGTTCAATTAAATAACATTGTAATTTGAACAATTTAACGAAATGAGCCACAATAGTAATATTACAATTGATTTAAAACCTTATTTGCATACTTCGACGCAATCTACCAGCCAGTCTAATGGTATGCATCTTGTTTATTTCAAAAATCGTTTTAATAAGATTTACTTTATATTATTTTTCTTTTACAAGTTAAATAAACTAGCTTTTAAAAAAACTGACTGATGAAATTTATTATATTAAATATAAAGACTATAATTTATAATTTGTTTTTTTATTTTATCCAATAAGAAATTTGAGTTCTTTAGTTAGTAATGAAAATTAAATATAGAAATCTTGTAGGTTTCTTCCTGTGTTTTTTCAATATTAATAAGTTATTCTAAGTATTTTAGTGGACGTTTTTTAAAATATATTGTTAATATGGATGTCTATATGAGCATCAAAAAGATACAGTTGCCCCTCCTTTGTTTTTTTACTGGATTATTTTTTATTATAAAAATAAAAAAATTTACTGCCATTAAACTTTATTTTGGATTTCAGAATTATGAGAAATATTCTTATAAATTTATAATGTTTAGAACATAAAGTTATATATTAATTAGTGCAAATGAATGGTGCTAAATGTATAATTAATTTTTTACTAATACTTTATATAATTAACAAATAATATTTTCATATATGACCAAAAGACTGAAAAAATGTCAGTTATCATATTTAGTTATATTATTAATCATAGGACTAGTGTTATAATTTGTAAGGCACTGTGCAGTTATTATTAGAGGACTTTACCTATGATATAAGGATTATAAAGAGTTAAATAATTTGTTTTTTTTAAGAAAGTTGCTTAACCTTTGGTTGCCATTATTTTCTTGTTAAAATAAGTGTGTTCGTTGATGTGATATTCCATGTTATTCTTTTTGAAGTGCATACCTTTGATAATTTGTAAGGTTGTGCTTAACAGAATTAACATCTTAACATACCTCACAGATTTGTGGAGTACTGTCGTTCATAAGATGACCAAGTGTTAAGAGTGTGTGGCCAATTCTAAGTCTCATTGATAACTCGTTGTTTAGGTAACATTTCAAGATATGACCAATTTTCAATGTTTGCTTTGATTTTATGTAATTTAGTTTCTATACCTAGCCATTCTTGTTGGCATTTAATGGTGGATTTAATGTCATCAATAATGCTTAGAAAAGTTATTCTATATTATCAGATTTTGAAATTTCCTTCACTGATTGGTCTGCTTTTTCTTAGCTAAAAATTAATGCATGTCCTGGGTCCCTATCATTATTCTATTATAATGATTACAAAAGTATCTATAGAGGTTGAACTAAATAGGATGACTATTCTAATAAGTATGCTAAATGAATCTGTTAAGATAATTAAGTCTCCAAATATGTTCATTTATATATTTAAAAGCCTTCAATATAACAAAAGTTTAAGCTCTGTATATAAAACAGTAACTCATAGGTTTTACAAGAATAATTAGATATTATATACTTTCCTACTCTTTCTAACTTAGTTGTAGTTGTTTTAATATTATAATATTTAATAATTTGTTTAATTCCTTGTTTAAATTCAATATTCCACTTAGATATCTATTTTATCCTACACATGTTTTAGTTTGACTATTGCTACAATTGTTGCATTTAAATGGTGTTAGTAAAACTGGAGTTTTTATTATTATTTAAAATTATTACACTGTAATAGTTTTGGATCAGATCAAAATTGTTTTCTATTAATAGCAAAAACAGATACCAGTCAAATGATTTGAGATACCATTTAAGTGTATCATAATTGAATACATCTATATATGAATATATATTAATATTATTAGGAAGATGATCAATGTTAAATATTTCTAGAAGTACTGACTATTCAGTATGTTATGTAAGAGAGACACTGCTAAGAGTATTATTTATAGCAGGAACATACTATTTGAAGGATTTAATCTTGTGATATGGCTCATAATTAGTATAGCAATATTGCTATCTGTGGTGTCAAAGCACCATAATGTATCGTGGCAGTTGAAGTCCTCTGTTAGTAAGAATGATTTGGAAAGTTGGTTAATGATGTTTTAAATTATGAGTTATAAAGTTGGTTTGGTTAAGAATATATATGTTACAGATAGTGAATATTTTTTCCATTGTAATGGGTGAAGTTATTACCTCAAGATTTCAGTTTATTTGTATTTGCTTAATTAGTATAACAATACTACTCACTTTCTCTATTGCAGTTAGTATTGTTACTAGAATATTTGACATATGGTATTGGAAGTATTGACTCTACATTAATCTTCAAATTTTTTTTTAGTAAAAAAAATTATAATCAAATAATTTAGAGTTTAATCAAAAGTATTGCCACTTTCAACAAAAAGGGTTATAACTACATATTTTTATATTTTCCTGATTATTATATAGCCCAGTATTTTTTTTATTTTTGCAAAACATCAGTACATCATAAGTTAGAAACCATAAAAAAACAAAAATTAATAGAAAATATATTGTTTAAAATTTAAAGGTTAACAATTATATAAATGTAAGCCATAAACTCTGTTCACTGAAGATTTATAATAGTTATTATTATTAGTATTTAACACCGTTTGGCCTCATTAATTATTTAAAGCTATTTTTGGAGAGTTCAACTCTTCTTAGGAATTTGACGAATGTGAAAAAAATACATAGAGAATCTTTTAATTTTATAGCTGTAGGCTATATATTTTCATTCTATACTTCGGTAGCAATAAATGAAAAGTACTAAATATTGTTTAAGTCACTCATTTTTCTGAAAATTTCAAATTTTTATAAAGAAAAACATTGTTTGATTCAAAAAACTACAATAAAATATAGTTCAATTTTTTTTTTATTCCTTCAGAGATAAAAAACTAAATTATAATTTCCTTTAATGGGAACCTTATTTAAATATTTTAAGTTTGATGATAAAAAAAAAAAAAAAAAAAAAATTGTAAGCAATTTTTTTTATATAAAGAAGCTTTATTCAGTTGTTGCTTGTTTAAGTTTAGCGATTTTTGACCAATTTTTTACTGATAATTTTTCATTTGTTATACAGTAGTTGTTATTTCTTCATGGTGTAACATAAACAAGTTTTTATAGATATTTCTTTTATTACATCTATCATTATGATAGCAAGAATAATTTATTAAAACAGTTTATTGTTTCCTTTGGTATTATAAAAATCAAATTAATGTTGAATTTCTATTTTAAATCCAAATATTTAAACAATTTTAAAACACAATAGTTGATCAGATAAAAAAAATTATAGGAACTAAACTATTTAAAATTTTTTATTCTATCATATAATTAATTTAAAAATAGGTATTTCTATTTAAGAAAATTTAAGTTAAGATTATTTATCCCAATAGGTATACTTTATGGTTTTTTTAATCCAAAAATATTATTTTTTATAAAAATTTAAAGTATTTAATAGTGCCTGAGAAAAACCTGAGTGTCTTATGCTTAATTAATCATCCTGTATAAAATACTAAAAATGCTATCAAAATGCTTATTCGTATTTATTTTAAAATAGGACAAAAGAAGAAAAAAAGAAATAAAAGACCTTATGTCAAAACAAAACCTGATCGTTCCAATGTAGAAACTATAAGCTATCAAAAACTAGTTGTTCCTAAACGCATGCATAGCCCATATTGGAAATATTTTGGCTTTCCAGCATCTGATAATGGAACAATTCTTACACAAGATCGAATAATATGTATCTTGTGCAAAAAGCAATTTGCATATAAAAGCAACACTACTAATTTACGGGTACATTTGCAAAGTCGACATAAATCAGAATTAATGGTACTAGAAATGATTTCAACTAAAGAAGGAAGTTCAAAGAAAAAACATGGAAAGAATGAACTTATGTTAATAGCCTCTTCTGAAGGAAATGTAGATATCAATAGATCAAATTATAGAGGAAAACAAGTAAAACTTGAACAACAACAAGATGTGTATATACAAAATGAAATGCATGATAGTTATGAAGGAGATAGTGTTGGTAATTTGCATGAACAAACTCCTCAAGTATCTGTTATATTTCAAGATGTTGATAATACTGTAAGTAATAGGACTGTAACTATTAAAATAGTAAAATAAAATAATAATAATGAGTTAAGTATATGGTTAATAACCTTCAACGGCTGACTGGGAGACAAAATCAAGCTAAAAAAAGATACTTTAAACAGTCCATACTATTATATATAAATGTGTGTGTGTGTGTGTATCAGATTCAATGATGTGAGGTGCTTGGAGAATAGGCCCCTATCCTAGGATTAAAAAAATAGAATTTATTATTATAAAATGTATTTAGAGAAAAGAGTAATTAAATTTGTGATCACATGACAATTTTAAGTTTTTTTAAAGATTCACATATGAGTTTTCTAGTATATAAATAAAAAAATTACATGAAAATAGATTTATGAGCTGTCAAAATTTTGAATATACAAAATGCTGGTATTTCATAAAAATACCCCCTCTCTAAAAACATTTTATAAAAATTAGTTCTATTTTTTTAATCCTAGGATAGGGGCCTATTCTCCAAGCAAATCACTTACATCATTGAATCTAATACACACATACATTTATATATATATATATAATCTTATAATCATGCAAGTACTAATATATGTATAATTATATTATAGAGGTTTTCCAGCTCGAAAATTAAATGAAGTAAAATATTTACTTGTTATTTTTTACTGCAAATCAACATTTAGTAGTCACATAAAATTTATCTAAAATAAATCAATGAAAATTTTAGGTGTTATTAAGAATTATTGTAAATATTATTAAAATATTTATGCTTTACACCACATATACTGTGAGTAAATTAGATCAAATTTAGAATATTGCTCACTGATATCAACAAGCGTTTTTACGTTTTGAGTGTTATAATTTTAACATTCTTAGAGTACCTCGTATATCTTATTACCCTATCTTTACTTCATTTAATATTAGTTTATTTTTTGTACTATATTCTTATAATAACATTGATTTTCCTGATTTTATAAAAACTAAATTTTTATGTTGTTACCTGCAACACAAGATTAAGAAAAACATTTTTTATATCAAATCAGCAATCGGATTATGTATTTAATGCTATCTCAAGTCGTTTAATGTCTTGTAGTAATTTTATAAATATTGCTCAATATGCATTTAGTTTATTTTATTTCTAATATTTTATCTCTAACATAAGTCTTATTATTCAGAATTTTTATGTTATTATTTTATTGTTATATTTGTTTAGTATATCATTGATGTTCATTATATTTAATATCTAATTATGTCAAATTATTGTCGATCCAATTAACATTGTATTTACATTGGGTTTTTACCCATTAAATAAATAAACAAATAAAAAAGTGAAGTACATAATTGTGGTATAATCAAAGAAGAACTAAAACCCCAATATTTTTTTCTAAAAAGAAATGACGAGCAAGAGGTGCAAAATAAAAGTTTGTTCAAGAAATTGCTAGCCATACCTCTCCGCTCCTTAAGAAATCCTAGCTTGTCATAGGTACTGAATACTAATACACACTAAATTCAAAAATATTAAGAATTTCAATTAGAAATACTACCAAAAAGTATTCAAATACACATATCTAAAATATTTTCAAAATTAATTTATTGATGTATCTATTATTTTGTATACTTATAACACTAATAAACATGAGCAGCGGTGCCTAGTGGGAGCCTGCTTTGATTCCTGATAGCCCAGCCAGCTATTGATGACCTATGTTAAAGCTGTAACAATAAGAAATACAAAACTTATCCGTACATGAATATACCCCTCTATTAAAAAATCCTGACATGGTGTATAGTAAATTTTATATCATCATTTGGATTCAATCGTACTTCTCTTTATAAATATTTGTAATAATTATTATAAACATGTGTGTGGCCTTTCTGAAAGTTTTATTTAAATGAAAAATGATAATTAGAAATTATACAGTAGTTTTAGATTTTCAAGAGTTATTAAATAATTCTAATCATGAATTTTTTTGAATAATCTGACAATTTCTTATGATAACTTGGTGGTAATTGTCATTGTCATGACATTTTGGATCTGACAGGTATATCAATAATCTTATTTTATTTTTGACAATCTATTCTAAATGCCTTCAATTTTAGAAAAAATTTCTTTTTAATCTGCAGAACCTAATTGCTGTTATACTACTATTGATTAACACAAAATAACAAAATGCACTATTAAAAATTTTAATTATTCCAATTAAGTTTAGAATTATTTATGTACCTAAAAGATAGAAGGATTTAAATTTACTTTTATCAAAATTCACGATGATCCTATGTATAAATTTGCACTTTGTCTTATATATGTTTTTATTTGAATTACATGATACACATTTAACAAAGGGGTTTATAAATTAAATAAGCTATTTTAATAAAATTATTTGAGACAAAAATCTTTTTTACTTTCCCTGAAAATTAACAACAATAAACTAGATTCTTTTACCTCAGTACAGATTTATTTCTATATTTTGTAATCTATAATGATAAAGAATAAAAAAAATTATAAATTTATTAATCATTTTTAGTCATGTGATATGGTTAATAAAGTTGTTTCTGATGCAATAACTGAATTCATAATTACTGATTTGCAATTACCAGACATTGTTGAAGGGAAAGGTTTTCAGCGTTTAATTGCTACACTTAGATCGCCTTGTGAAATACCAGGAAAGTATAAATTAGAGCAAGATATAATTCCAAGAATTTATGAAACATCTCGAGCTGCTGTACTTAATACTATAGCAAATAGTTGTAGTACATATGCTCTTGGAATTGAAGAATGGACCTGTTCTAATTCTAATACCTATATTACCATAAGTGTTTTTTTTCAACAAGTAATATTGTATTCTAAGCTTTGTTAATTATTTGTTCTAATGAATTTTATTTGTAGTTGGATAAAGAAGGCCTATGCATTAAACAGCTAGGTACAATTCTATGTAATCCTAACACAACTGCTAATGAATGGTGTGGAATACTGGGTTCATTATTTGTCAATTGGAGTATAAATATTGAACATGTAAAAACTGTTATAACAGCTTTCACAAACTCCAATTTAGAAGCAGCTTTACTTACACAAGGATTTATTCTGATACCATGTCTTATACATGAATTACAAGTAAGATTACATACATAATTGCGGTGTTATAATGTTTGTCATCAAATATTATCTATTTTTTTTTTATAATTTATCCCTACCTTATATGATTAAATTATTGATTTTATAATTGATACAGTTAACTTTATATTAAATATGATAACTACATGAGCATTATTTTAAATTAAATATAACAAAAATACTATTTATTTATATAATGAATATAATATAATATAATGAATATAATATTATTTACATAATAACATACATGCAGCACAACAATGAGTTTGGGCATAGGTTGTTTTTCTGCTATGATTAGCAGGTATTTGCTGACATGAAGCCCACAGTTGATATGGCGTTAAGATAATCAACTTACATATCGGTCAGGAAGTTGAGAGAATGACTGTTGACTTACTGATGTTTTATAACATTTTATATAACTTTGTAGCATTTTAGTTGTCTATTTTTGATATAAAATATAGTTCAGAAAATAATTAATAGTATCTATTAATTTGTTGTTAAAGTATCTCTTCAATTAATTGATTGGATGGATTTAATAAAAGTAGTGAAAAAAGTAATTAGAAAGTATCATTTTTGGAGGGTAATATTTTGACTTATAGGAGTGAAACACAAAGAGGAGTTTCATGTATAATAAAATAAATTTGCATTTAATTCTGTGAAAAAGTATTTATAATGCTTTTCTTATTAAATGAAAAAATTGGCAATAATTTTATTGCTTTGGGGAATAATTTAATTTTTTTTTTGAAAATATTAACAGATGTATTAATTGTAACATTAATAATAACAAAGTAAATTTTTGTTATAGAAATTATGTACCAAGTTCTGTTTTGAAACAAAAGAAGTATTAGAAGTTTTGAATAAATGTAGAACAGTATCAGCTAAATTACATCATCATAATGCACTGACATCTGTAACTGTACAAGATAATATTGTTCAAGTATTTAATTCTTTTTTAAGTCGAGAGTATCCACAAATTTGGACAACAACTTATCATTTCCTTGAGCGTTTTATGCAACGTAAAGAAACTATTAAAACGTTATGCAACAATCTTGAAGTAGAATTTTTTCCACATGAAACATTAACTGATAAAGATTGGTGTGTAATTGAAGATGTTGTTACAACTCTTGAACCATTAAAAGTTACAGTTACAACTCTGAGTGAAGAAAAAATACCTTTAATATCATTATTAAAACCTCTAATTAATCAACTAACTAGTCACCATTTAAAAGTTAAACCTGAAGATTCACCACTAGCTGCAAATTTAAAAAATACATTTGCTAATGAATTACATTGGAAGTAAGATTTTATGTGAAAATTACCATAAGTATTAAGTTCTAAAATCTTAAATAAAAAACATACATTAATTTTGCTATTTTGTAACATAAATTTAATTTTTTAATTAATAATTTCATTAGGTAAACATTATGCAAAAATTACAATAAAATTTGTTCACTATAACTTCTAAATACTGGATTTGGTAGTATGGTATGATCTTGCTGTGGTTAATACTTATTTTAGAAAGAGGGAAGAACATTATATAACTTATAAGAGTGGGAGTAATAGATCATAGATTGATTATTTTATGTGGAAGAGAGAGAGCGTAAAGTGAGTAAAATATTGTTAAGTTATCCCAAGCGAGAGTGTAGCTACACGACATAGACTGATGATAATGAAGATGTGGTGTACCAAAAAGAGATATACAAAAATAGAAGAAATACAGGGGGAAAATCGAAGATCCGGTGGTGGAAATTGAAAGGGGAAAATGAAAAAGAGTTTGTAAAGACGGTAAAAGAGAGGACGGTGTGGAATGTCGAGGGAGACATAAATTATGTGTGGAATAGATTTGCTAGTTGTGTAAAGAATACTGGAAAGGAGATTGTTGGTGAGAGTAGAAGTAGAATGCCAGGAAACAAGGAAACCTGGTGGTGGCATGAGGACGTTCAAAAAATCATAAAAAGTAAGATAAAGCAATTCAAAGTATGGCAGAAGAGCAAAAGGAGAGAAGACTAGATGGAGTATAAACGCTTGTGCAAAGAAGCCAAGTACGCAGTAAGTAAGGCAAAGTTTAAGAGGTATGATGAGTTGTATGATAGGCTAGGAACAAAGGAAGGTGAGAAAGAAATCTATAGACTTGCAAAGATAAGAGAGAAAAGGTCTAAAGATTATTATTATATAAGGTGTATAAAAGGTGTTGATAATAGGGTACTCTCGTGTGATGATGATGTGAAAAAAAGGTGGAAAGAGTATTTTGAAAAATTATTGAATGAGAAGTACCCAAAAGAGACATTAGAGGATATTTCGTGTAATGAGGGACTGGTAGATTTGATTAGTGAGAAAGAGGTATAGGAAGCTGTGGCATCAATGAAAAAGAATAAAGCAGTAAGACCAGATGAAGTGCCAGTAGAAGTATGGAAAATATTAGGTGGTGTTGGCATAAGGTAGTTGAAGGAACTTTTAAATAAAATCTTATTAGAAGGGGAAATACCAAATGAATGGAGGAATAGTATTGTGGTGCCGATATTTAAAAGTAAAGGAGACATACATGAATGTGGAAATTATAGAGGCATAAAGCTTATGAGTCATAGTATGAAAATTTGGGAAAAGGTAATACATAAGAGAGTAAGAAATAAGACATCGGCGTATAAAAATCAGTTTGGATTTATGCCTGGTAAGTCAACAATGGAGCCAGTATTTTGTGTGAGACAACTAATAGAAAAGTTTGACAAAGGAGAACACGAGGTAGGTGAAATGAGTAGGTCAGTGACAATAGGCGAAGACGTTATTGGAGAGGTGGAGAGTTTTAAGTATTTAGAATCAGTTGTGCAATATGGTATTGACGAGGATGTAAGACACAAAATTAAGTGGGGGTGGTTGAACTGGAGAGAAGCGTCTGGCGTCTTATGCAATAAAAGAATTCCAATGAGGCTGAAAGGTAAATTCTACAAGACTGTAATAAGGCCAGCTATAATGTATAGTTCAGAGTGTTGGGCGCGGTTGATAAGAAAGTAGAACAGAGAATGAGTGTAGCATAGATGAGAATGCTTAGATGGATGAGAGGAGTTACTAGAGAAGATAGGATAAGGAACGAGCATATAAGAGGGAGTATAAGTGTAGTATCAATCGTGAAGAAGATGAGAGAAAATAGACTTGGATGGTTTGGTCATGTTATGAGGAGAGAAGAATCGGAAGCTATAAGAACAGTTATAGAAATTAATGTTGAAGGAAGAAGAGGTAGAAGAAGACCAAAAAAGAGATGAAGGGATGCTATTGAATACGATTTGAGGACAGCTGATGGAAGCGTAAATGATGTGAGAGATCGTGTCAAGTGGAAGTATAGGATAAGGGTGGCCGAACCCAAGTAGTAGGGATTAAGGCGAGGAAGAAGAAGAAGAAGATAACTTCTAAAGATTGGAGTTACTAATATCATTTTCATTAATGTTTTTCTTTTACTATACATATTTATTAATTTCTTAAGAATGCCCTTTAATTTAGATGTGTGACTTGAAAATTTCTCATTTATATGAAATGATAAAAATATTATAGTTAATTTTATTAGAGTAATATATTTAGATAAAAAAATTTTATTTTTATTTTAAAAAATTTTAGCGCTTTTCACTTATAACATTTAGATATATTAAAATATTTTTTCCAAGATTACTTATCATTAAAAAATTTTAGTAACATTATTATAGTTTTAGCTTCAATGCAAAGCTGAGAAGATATTATTTTTACTATTATGTTATTTTTTTATTTTTTTCTGTTACACTTTTCTCAGCTCTCACCGAACCGATTTTTTTGAACGATACGTCAAAATATCACAAATTGTATCTAGTCGAAGACATTACCCTTAAAAATTGAAAAAATTTCCCTCGTTCCCTGTAAATGGGGGAAATCTCCAAAAAAATTACATATTTAAAAATCGCTAATTTTCGAAAAATTTTTTAATTAAAACTGCCATAACTTTTTTTATATAGATGCATGATGTTTTATACCTTTTTTTGGGTATATTTTTTCTATAAATCTAACACTTTACCTGCCCACAGGGGGGATTTAAAATGACAACTTTTTCAACTTAAATTTTGAAAGTATTCCTGAAAGTCTGACACTTTTATATATATCTTGAATTAAAGCTAATGCAATATACTTTATCATGGAAAATAAAAATTTTGGATTTTATTTTGTCTTCGCGGTGAAAATGGCTACCAAATGCTATTTTTGTGTGAAAATTCTCGATTTTATATTTTGCGTTTTTAACTTTATTACGCTATAACTTTTTGAAAAATGTTCAAAACAATTGAATAATAATCAATACATTTTTTTGATGAGAAGTAGTATTTATATACATCTTTCATTCGACATACTTTTTTTTAAAATAACACCATTTGTGCTGGGTTTTTTTAACCTCTATAATATGTTGAAAATTTGAATATGCTTTGTTTAAATTAGATTAATTATTGTTTGTAGTATAATTTATAACTTATATTTATTACAGGTACAATGATATAACTGTACAGACATTTCTACATGTTTCAACATTATTAGATCCCCGTTTTAAAGATTTTCCAATGAATGAAGGCGAAGAACATTTACCTACTATTAAACAAGAACTAGTTAAGATGGTAGAATCTGAAGGATCAGTAGCATACGATGAAAAAACATGTTCAAATATTGAAGAAAATAATCCTCAAAAAAAAAACAGAGTGTCAGGTGTATAAATCTTTGATTTATTTAGAAATATCAAATTTTCCTAATCTTATGTAAATTAATTTTTTTACATTTTAAAATTTTATTGAAAAAAAAATTAAAATATCATGTTTTACAAAATTTTCATTTGAAATAAAAACAAACCAAGTAAAATACTTTATAAATGTTCTTAAAATAAAGAATGCATTCAAATTAAATAATAATTTTGTTTCGCCCTGAAGTAATAAACATTTAAGAAAGGTATCAACTATAATTAGTGATTGGCATAATCGAGATATCTCGATTATTTTCATAATCGAGATATTTCGATTATTGAAATCATATCTATTATATAATCGAGATATTCTGATTTTTTAAATAATATTGATTATTCTACAAAATGATTTCTCGTTTATTATAAAAACAATGATTTCTTGATCTTGAAATGTATATAATCGAATAAAAGTTATTTCGAATGATGTCCATGAAACGATGAAACGAGAGAATACTATTTTTAAGTTTTTATTTAGCATAAATTATAGTCGAATTATTATTAAATTGTTGACTTCGAGTCTTATTTTCAACTCGTTCAATCGCTACTCATGGCAACACCTTATCTGTCACATTTTTGGGAAGTATGTGACGATTAGAACAAAGTTTTGTCCTGAACTGGCTAAACTACTGAGTTCTGATTCTCTCACTAGTTGTGAATTTATGAAAAATCAATTAGGTGTGGAATTAGGTGTTTTAATTATGATGGTCAAGCAGGCTATTGCTACCTTATCTTATGTTTTTATTTTTAAATTTGTTATCGGTTTTTTTAAAATATAGGTAATAATTATTAAATAAAAAAAATAACAACTTGTCTTTTATTTAAAGCACTTATTAATAATGCATTATTAATATATTATTGTTATTATTATTCCTAAATTATAGTTTAATATATTAATTATAAATAAACACCAACAAATAAAAAAAGCAAAATTAAATTAATAATTATTTACTATAGGTATATTTATTCATATTTCGAATAATTTTTCGATTCTCTCGATAAATAATAATAGTTGATTATTCTTATCATACGAGCAGACGATTTTAACTTCGAGTGATTTTTCGAGAGATTCACTCGATTATGAAAATGTCTCGATTACTAATCATTCGATTATCGAAATCATTCAATTATGCCCATCACTAACTATAATACTTTCTCAAATACTTTGATAATGAAATATTTTTTGGTAGTTATTTTAATCTATTATAGTTACCACTATACAGGTTTTGACTAATGATATTTTTCTTTTTTGTATTAATTGTTAAATTATAATGCAATAATAAAAAAAAATATAATTTATGTAAAATTGTCCAAAGGGTATTCCCTCCTAAAGCTTCCTTAATAGATCTTTTAATCATGTTTACAAGTTTTAATATTATTTTTTTATATAAATCTCTAAATTATAGCTTACTATTATTAAACCAAGGTTATTATCTTTAAATAGTTTTTAAATACACTATTTTTTCAGGAATTGGCTTTTTACTAGGAAGTGTAGCAAGTGTTAAAAGTGCACCTGTTATCAATAAACAAAACATGTCACTTGAGGATCGACTTAATTTAGAGATTGCACAATATGAATCTGAACAAACTCCATGTCTTGAAGAATGTCCTCTCCAGTGGTGGTCACGTATGTTATCCAAGTGTCAAAATTTAATTCGACTTGCCAAAAAACATTTTGTTTATGCTCTTAGTGGATCATCAAGTAAATTGCCACTAGAATCTCAAATTTCATATTACATTAGGCGATCTCAAATTAATCAAGAACTTGTGGATAAAATGTTATTTATTAATGCTAATACAGCCGAAAATAATTGTTAACTAAATAGTTTATTATTTAAGTATTATTGTATGACAATTGTTTTTTGAGAATACATATATAAAAATTGTAGTTTTAGTGAAATCTGTTTGTATTAGTATCTCGATTAAATGTATAATTTTGAATTTTTAAGTACTAATGCTTTCATGAACTTTTCAAATTTTTATACTATAATTACTTTTAGATATTCAAGACCTAATGTATAAAAATGTCCATTGAACTATGATTAATAAAATTAAAAACCAAGTTAATGTCTCCTTATACATTAAAATGGTCATATTAATTATATCGGATAAACTTATCATTTTTCTTATAATATCATAACACACTTAGAATAAAATAAACACGACTAACAATCATAGTAAAAATAATATCTTCTCAGCTTCGCATCGAATCTAATACGATTTTTGTAAAAAAATTCTTTTTTATATATTTAACTTTATAACGCTATAAATTTTTGGAAAATGTATGGATGAATACAATTTTTTTATGAGAAATAATATTTATATACCTCTTTAATTCGACATACTTGTTTTTTAAATCGAACCATATCCCTTAATACAGAGGGGGTTCAAAACATAAAAATGCATAGAGAAAGTAGAACTTTTTCAACTTAATTTTTGAAAGTGTTCCGGAAGTACTGACATTTTTATATATATCTTAAATTAAAACTTATGTTATATACTTAAATATTTTTAAAAAAATATTTGGGACTTCATTTTGTCTTCACGGTGAAAATGCTACTATCGAATGCTACTTTTGTGTAAAAATTCTCGATTTTATTTTTTTAATTTTTAACTTTATAATGCTATAACTTATTGAAAAGTGTATGGATCAACATAATTTTTTTTAATAATCCCTTTTTCATTTGACATACTTTATCTTAATCAGGATATTAATAAGGAAATAGCAGATCATGTAGCTTTTGGAATAATCCACCAATTTTTTTTAAATTAATCGCTGTCTACAGATTTCCATCGAAGCGTTTTTTATGATAGTGATTTTAATCACTGTCAGATATTATTATACTTGACCCAACTATGCCGCGACCCCACTATACTTTATATTTCTATAACTTTTTGAAANGCTGTGTTTTTAAACTTTATATTTCTATAACTTTTTGAAAAATGTATGGAGCATTACAACTTTTTATGATAAGTACTATTTATATACTTCTTTAATGCGACATACTTTTTCTTTTTAAATCGGACAATATTCCTTAATACAGAGAGTTCAAAACTTAAAAAATTCATATAGAATATAAAACTTTTTTAACGTAATTTTCAAAAAAGTTCCGAAAATACTGATATTTATATTTATATACAGTGGCGTAGATACGATTATTTTCTGAGGGGGTTTATTTCATATTAAATTTTTGACTAATTAATATAACAAATATTTATGTTTGATTATTAGGTTACGTATGAATAATCATTAAATATATTTTAATTAAAAATAAGTTGAAAAAGTTTTAGTTACTATACGTATTTTTAAGTTTTGAACCTCCTCTATACAAAGGGAAATGGTTCGATTTAATAAAAAGTATGTTGCATAAAGGAAGTATATAATTAGTACTTATCATAAAAAAATTGTAATAATCCATGCATATTTCAAAAAGTTCTAGGAATTTAAAGTTAAAAATGTAAAATATAAAATCGACAATTTTAATACAAAAATATCATACGCTACACTCAAAGAAAAACCTCAATTAAAATTGAAAGAGAAATTTTATCAAGGGTTTATGATAATGTTTTATTAATACGAACAAAATAACTATTCTTATAAATAATTATTGTTCAAGACAAGAAAAAAAAATATCATATTGATAAATATATCATTGATTCAATAGTAATGATATATTTNAAAAAACGGTAGCACAGTGGGGTCGAGGCACAGTGTTGACGAGGCATAGATGGGACATGTATAGATGATATCTGACAGTGATTAAAATCACTATCATAAGAAACGCTTCGATGCAAAT